TCGAGAATTTCACCATCAACAGTAATTGGAACTGGCATGACGTAATCGTTGAACATAACTTTTGTTTGTCTTGTTCAGATTCATGCACAGACCAACACGTTGGGAGGATTCATTTAGTCTGTTCAGCATATCCTGAAGTTCCTGCAGCGATTCTGCCATGACGACGATATCATCATCAAAGCGTAAGTGTGAGATGTACTCACCGTTTACGTTAATACCGCGTCCTTTCCAGTCTAACGTCTTAAAAACATCTTCCAGTGCATTTGTAAACAGTTTAGGGGATATAACATCCCCCTGTCTCAGTCCGCGATGCAACTGGATTGGTTTTGTTTGACTGTCCTGTACTTGGACGGACATCGTACTGGTGTTGTAAAGGCATCTCAGCACTTCGATGTACCGCCAGTCAATTTGGCACCGCTGCAAAGAATCTAGAACAGTCCAAGTTTCAATGGAGTCAAAGGCTTTCTCAAAGTCCACAAATGCAAGACACAGGGGCTGATTATACTCTGTTGTCTTCTGTATTATTTGTCGCACTGTGTGAATGTGGTCTATAGTGCCAAATCCTCCTCGAAACCCAGCCTGTTCCGCAGGCTGAAAGTCGTCGAGTCTTTGCGCGAGTCGATTCGTGATGACCCTCGAAAACAACTTATAGGCGTGGCTCAGAAGCGAGATGGGTCGATAATTTTTTAGCATAGTCTTGTCACCTTTCTTGTGAAATAAGACTGTAATGCTTTTGCTCCATGCCTTTGGAGTTCTCCCATCTCGTAAGATGCAGTTAAAAACCCGACAGAGCTCTTTTAGCAAGGGTTGACTCCCAGCTTTTAAGAGCTCTGTTGTAACTCCATCTTCTCCAGGGGCTTTACCATTTTTAAGTTGACCGAGGGCCAGCTCCATCTCCCCAAGGCAGATGTCTGGCAGCTCGTCGGTATAGTGGCGGGTCAGCGTGGCTCTGGGATCATCGTATTTAGGGTCAGGTTGTGGCTCATGTGAGACATATAGTTTGCCATAATAGTGTTCGATCTCAGAGAGAACCTCAGGCTTTGACGTGAGGACTTTGCCATCATGCGTCTGGAGTTTTGTGATGTGACTTCTTCCAAGCTCCCGAACAAAGATTTTGGATCCCTTGTTTCGCTCTATTGCCGCTTGTATAGCAATTGCATTAGAGCAACGCAGGTCTCACCTCACAGCTTTCCTCACAAGCTTGGTTAGTGTCACCTGTTCCGAGGTTGGTTGATAATTCACGCCTTCTTTTCATAAGCTGAAGTGTCTTATCTAAGAACTTCGACTTTCGGCCCGTATGTTGCTGGCCACAAAACCTGTTGCCCTCATCCCGTAAGATCTTAATCACGCTTTTAAGGTCCTCGTCAATATCCAAAGTGGGTCTCAGGGCATCGAATCGATTTTTAAGTTCTAGATGGAAGCGTTGGAAGCCAGTTACGGTTTGAAACAGATTTGGTCGAATCGTAGACTTCACCAATCGGGACCTTTCAAGCATAAAATCGATATTCAGAGTGCCTCGAACAATTCGGTGATCGCTTCCGGTATTGAATTTGTTGATCACTGAGACGTCTCTGAATATGTGCCTTTTGTCCGACATGATGAAGTCAATCTCATTTTTTGTAGTATTATCGGGACTGCGCCAGGTCCACTTCCTTTGTGGCTTCTTCGCGAAAAACGTATTCATCAGAAATGACCCCTCTTTCTCGAGGAAGTTGACCAGCATTTGCCCCCTGTGATTCCTGCTTCCAAAACCGTGGTGTCCCAAAATCGATTCGACGTGTTTTTACCCACTTTGGCATTAAAATCCCCCATAACAACATTGTAGTGGGCCTTTGTGGTGTTACGTAAAGCCCAAGAAATGTCTTCATAGACAGATTCTACTTCGTCATCCGAATGTGCCGAGGTCGGGGCATAAACTTGTACGATCTTCAGAGTATCTCTTTGATAACTTAGTACAAGGTACGCTACCCGTGTCGACACACTTGAGATTTCTACAATGTTGTTAGTGAGGATCCTATGAAAGAGGAAACCTACTCTGCCTTGGGATAGGCCGTCTCCCTCCCGAAAGTAGAGCAGATGGCCAGATTGCAGGGTAATTGTGTCCTCTCCCTCTCTTCGGACTTCACTTAACCCTACAATATGCCATCTTATATTTTCCAGCTCAGCTTCCAGTTCATAAATGTGTCCGTCTTGCCGCAGAGTCCGTCCATTATACGTCGCCAAGTCCAGTTTTTGGTGGTAACCTGTCCTCTCCCGGGGATTCTTCGCACCCCCTGCCCCACCGTTGCTGTGACCGCCACCACGGCCAGGAATAATGGGGCGACCGGGAACTGGGGGCCGTGTTTTTGTGGTGCTACTCATAGGAGGATTTGCCCTTAATCGCCACGCTGGGCAAGCGGGTTGGCGATCGCGGTGCCAGACACATCGCACCTGTGACGCTGCTGCCCATCACAGGTCTGAGCATTTTTGGTCTGACGAAGACTGGGATGGTTATGCCGCCATCCATCGGAAGCCTTAAGTTCTCCTTTTTTTGAGGCAAAATATTTAATACTTTTTATTTAAAGTTTATGGAGCCGTGGTAGCTCAGTGGTTAAGGCTCGCTGTAAATATAACAGAACGCGAGTAACCCGGGTTCGATCCCCGCCGGCACCAATGAAATTGTTAATTGCAATTTTAAGTGCTGATTTACCACGTGCTCGGCGGTGAAGGAAAACATCGTGAGGAAACCTGCATGTCTGAGGAATAAGAAAAAAATATTTCGAAGACATGTGAAGTTCGTCAACACGCATTTGGGCAGCGCGGCGGACACTTCCTTGCCTAAACCCTCTCAGAAATGAGGGGAGGCCTGAGCCCAGCAGTGGGACGTATATAGGCTGTAACTTTACTTTTTTTTATTTAAAGTTAAGCCTTAATATTTTTATCCAATAGTCGCTTTGATAAGTTAGCTAATTTATCTGTAATAATTAAATTCATAATTTGACTTTGTCGTAACTTATGAACTTATTTTTGTTACAAGCACATCTTGAAATTAGACGATCTTAAGTGAATCATATTTTTTATATATATGTACATAAAACATTGTCTGAAATTGGCAATCTCTACATAGTATAAAACCAAGTCGCTTCCCGCCGTTTGCACGCTTAGATCTTTTAAACAACGCAATGAATTTTGAAATAATAAGTTTAGGTACCGTTATTTAACTTTTACGAAACGTTACAGCACTCGGGCAGAGTCCTGCCGTGATGATATATTTGTTTCAAGTTAGTGCGTAAAATCCAATGAATTTTGATACAGTTTTCATGTATGGACAGAGTGATTAAACAGAAAGGTTTATATGTATAATATAATACATGTATATTTTGTCAAGATCCAAAAATCACCTGCGCGAAGCCGGGGCGGAAAATATAGAGCGAGTTTTTAGAACCGAGATTTTTATCAAAACCAAAATTAAGAAATTGCCAATATAAAAATGTAACTAATGAAATGGTTTACTTGCTGATAAATACTCTGTAAGTGTTGTTTTATCTTCAAATCTGATTCATGTTCAAATGTTATTAATAAAAGTGAAAAGCGTTTATGAAGGTAGTTAAGAAGGATGTTAATAATAAACAGATCAATTTTAATATTTACTAAATTATTTTTTTATTGATTAAAAATTAACTGCTCAAGTTTTTAGATAAAGGGCCTTTTCATTTTTTGCTACGAAAATAAAAAAATTTGCCGCCTCCAAAATTTTACCGACTTGCCCATACAGCCCTTTCGTAAATACAGTTCTGATTATAATACTTATACATCGGAAGTTAGTGTACTTGTTTAGCGACAGACATAAATAAGACGATGATTAACTTCCCAGACTTACTACCCTTAACTGTTCTAAGCCGGAACGGAGTTGCCATCTACTAGTTAATTTTATACGTGGCAAAGCTACGCTTAAAGCCAATTTATGGTTATAGCACGAATAGATTAGCTCGACCGGGGAAGAACACGCTCTCACAGAATACCAGCGTAATGTGGAGAGTGTAAAGAATCGGAGACACATTTTAATGGAAATGAGGCATTCCATCTTAGTCCTCAGGGGTGACAACGCGTCTGCATTTCGATTCTTAATTGAGGGTAGATGTAGATATTTATGGACTGCACATACCATCGGGTGGGTTCGATCGCTTGTCATCCCTATTCTATAAAAAAAAATCAATAATACATTTCAAGCGAGTAATAAGGTAATTAGGAATGCTCTCCAACTTTCTTGGTATAAAAGGTCAGAAAAAGTGCTCGCCTAAAATGAAGCTCGCGTCTTTTGTGCTGCCTGCCTACAAAACGCGAACAAACCGAATTCAAACCCCGCTAGCACTAATTGAAATGCTGTTTTACCGGGTGCTCCGCTGTAAAAGAATTCATAGTTAAGAAAACTGTGTCGACGAAATTATTAATATCGAGAGTATGTCCAATCCGCCAGACTCTTTCCTATCGAAAACCCTCAGAAATTAAGAGAGTTTTGTACCCAGCAGTAGAACGTTAATAGTCTGTCAATTTATGGTTGTAGTTTCTACTACATCGTCGTTGTAGCGTTTACTACATCATACGTCGGATAGGCACGAGACGGTCCACACTCTTACCAAATACTAACGAAAAATAATGAATAAAACCAATTTTACGAATCTTTTCGCATTTATTTTTTAACTATAAGAATTACGTATTTTTATTTAACATAGATTATAAATAATTCTTATTGAAAGTCATTTTTTACTTTTTACCACCGACTCGGAAAAATTCCTGTCCAAGACCGAAAGCCTGAGATCCTTTTTTACTGAAAGCGAAGCGCTCCATAAGTCCTCAGAGATGACAACAAACTCGTATCTGCATTTTGACTCTTAATTGATGAGGGTGTTTATGGGTGCTAGCATCCACTTACCATATGGTGGACTGTGTGCTCATTTTTCACGCTAGTAAAAAAATTAACTTTTTTCAATACGTACAAGTGCTTTTAAATCCTTGGGCAGGTCTGTACGCGCTACGTATCACGGCGACGCTTCATTCAACGTGCTATATCAATCGCCACTTGGTAACGCGGTGGGCGCACTCTGTGGTCTGCTGTTGGCTCACGCGCACCACGCGCTGCGACGTGCGGGGCTGCGGCCCGAAGAATGCCAGGTTTGAACGAAGCCCACTGACCACCTAGCATACGAGACATGTAACAAAAGGCGACAAATTTCTGTACTTCATCTGCTCAACCGGACGTGTTCTGGACGTAGTTCTGAGACTATCCTTGTCAAGCACGCAGTATTATAGTAGCGTCTCTGTTTATCAACCAGAGGGGCTTCAGGCGGCACGTGTAAGTTGAGATGCCCAAAAAAGTATCGATGCAAGTTTATCGACTATTTATAGTATTATTTTTTGTGTAGACGAACAGTCATTCTATTATATTTGTGTATTAATCTATTTGCAATTATAATTTGAAATCGAAATTACAGTTTTACAAGCCTTAATTAATTAATGAAAAGTGAAGGTAATTTTCGTTTACATTTTTAGATATTTTCACCTGACTGTTGCGGCCGAGGCCGAAGCAAAGTCATGGTTTTCTAGAGTATGTATTAGGTTTGTGTATTTCTTAGGCACATTTTGCTCTTAACGGATTTATGGTAAGCGATTAGCGTTGTAAATGACATGTAAAATACATGTATATATTTTAAAGAACTTTACATGTATTTAGCGGTGTATTTTACGTATCATGCATTTGTTTATAATTACGTTACGTTTTCATAGTCTCCCATATTTACGCGTACGATATATGGATGTACCTTATATCGTACGCGTAAATATACCTTTCGTTCTTCTAACCTTGACAGACTAATTTAATTAGAGAATTGTAATGGTTTCACGTCTCGTAGACTGGGTGGTCTGTGACGAAGCCCGAACACAGTCGTCAAACCACCGACTGGAAATTCAATAAACCCCTTAACACACCTCTGTATTAAGTCCAAATTTGCTAGGTTTGATTTTGTAGTAGTACCTAACCACATTGGTAGCTGTGCTCGCACGACCGGATTACCCTTATATACCTACAGAGACATATACCTACTTTTTCAAAGAGTAGCCAAATTTTAAACTTAAGTTCAAACAAATGAATAATCATATACCTTTATTGTAGTTTTTGAAAATACAAGTAAATAAGGCTTCTACTTTTATTTCAAATTATCCCAAATTTAATGTGATTTATTTGCAACAAGGTTTTTGCCTACCGATCGACCCATACGAATGTATGCGTGCACAGTAAAATCAATTAAAATAGTACATTACCAGGCATTTTGAATTTAAAAGATAAAAAGAATGTTAGAAAGGTTTTTTTATAATTTTTTCTTCACCATTTGCCCATATTACTTATTCTGAAAATTCTCTGCAAATTCAGCCGGTTATTGCAATATAAACCTGTATAATGCGGTTAGAAACTATTGGTAATTGGAGTAACGCCGCATCATTGCAAATACACTTATCTAACTTCCTTACGGAATAACGATGTTTTGACCTTTTTTTAGTAATAGTAAAACTTTTATTAGCATAAGTACATTCTTTCCTTTAAGCTTCTTTAAAATAAGTTTAAAATAAGCTATTTACAAATTTTATAAATTTTAAGTTGCTTACTTCTGTTTGTTACTGTCGGATGTACTAGGCTGAGCCTTTTACAGACGGTAGACTCAATGAATGTCTCAATGAACCGCCCAATGTTGAGATTCAAGGAAATCTCAACTAACAACTGAAATCTATCAGTGTATTCCTGAAATATACCTGGAAAGTGGGGGACTAGGTAAACGAACTCATAGGGCTTAAGCGCTTAAGTACATGCTTGTGTTTTGCCTGGCATTGAATCACCCAAGATTCGTATTGCCCTATTCGACACCATGATTTTGTTATCGAATTGAATTCAATCCTGTCTCTCCCGAGCACGCGGCTGAAATCCCCTCAAAATTGTGTTATCACTTTCGCCTCTCTTGCCAGGCACTTGTAGGTCATATCTATAAAAAGTGAACACTTTATTCACTCCGGGAAACCAAGGAAAACCAATCATAACACAGATAATCTTAGAAGCCAATTATTTTTTTTGCTCAACAATACTCTGGCTACTATAAAAGTGCGCAGCGATTTATCGTGTAAAAGCAAAATATTTCTTTAATAAAACATGCCAATTATCTGAAATGGACGTGTGTTTGTCATATTTGCATATCATCTAGTAATTGACAACTGCTGATTGTCCTTAAGTTACTACTTAAGACCACTTGAGACTTGTTATTTAAACGGAACAATGTTTATCATGTAAGTTATAATACATATAATTATTTTGATGTTATTCATATGAAAATAATAGATGTTGAGAACCTCATCACGTGCCAGATATTGTCTATAAGTGTTTGTTTGTTTATAGTTTTATAAAATAAAAAGCTCGAAGTGATTGTTTATAAGTTTTATAATATGTACCTACTTATTCAAAAGCCTAAAACCGAAAGCATCTACGAAATAATCCAACTATACCCCGCCTTAGTAACTATAATTTTAATTTTTGATAATGATTACCTAGGTACGTACTGGGCGGTAAAGGAAACATGTATCTATAATTCATTAATGCATCCGTTACAGCCGGTCACTTCTACTGCTGTTCATACTCGTGAGCCTTCCTCATAGATTACCGGATATTTGTCATAGTTGCTACTATAATTTTTAAGCTATTGCATAGCTTCTACCGCGGGCCTTGAGCGCGGGGACCGAATCCAGAAATTCCGTAACGAAAAAAAACCTCACGCTCCCCACTCCGACGGGCACGGAGGTGTGGCTTGAAGGCCGTGCATTGTCTAACGTCGTTTCAGTTCGGCAGACTTCGGCACTCGGCAGACTTCGGCACTCGGCAGACTTTGGCACGGTGTTTGTGTGCGTGCGACTAGACGTATGCGTGTACACTAGCTGCTAACTCAATGATAAAAATTCCTGAATAACCTACATGTATTGTAAGATATTAAAAATATTTTAAACAATATTAACTTCTCATTTATTCAATAAGAGAAAAAAAATAGTTTTCTTATCGGTCACCACGCTCAAAAAGTGTAACTTGATTTAATATCAAAGACTTAACTGCATAAATAAAATAAATAAATAATTATAATTGCATAAGTTGATAAAAATGCTATGCAATAGCTTTACCGCGGCAGTCACCGAGTGCCACACGTATTTTTTATTTATAGTTGTTATCAGAAAGATATTGCTGCTATCTCTTACGACACCCACGGGATAACATGGGATAGTGGATTTTCTTACGTTGCCACTACACTGCTTATCTGTATACTTGAAAAATTAAAAATATTTCCCAGTCATGTGATTTCTTTCAATTCTCACTGGAGCAGTGTAGCGAAAACTGCGCCGTTATTATAATTATTGGTTTATAATACATTATGCATTGAAGTCTACTTTCTATCTTACCGCATAAACGTATAACGTTTGTTTTAACTTACCCAAGGTCAGAATAAGTCTATTTATGCGCGTAGATTTTTGGATCTCTAATATTATTGTGTATTAACTTGGAAAAGTCAAAGTTTTATATAACCCGTACGTCCATAAAAATGTTACTAAACAATAGAATAATTCTGATCTTTTGTCAACTATTTTAGGCCTGAAGGAAGTAGTGATATAAAGGGTTAAACGCACTCACAATGATTTAACTTAACAAGTGGATTAACTCCTGTCTTGATGACTTGAATTGAATTGAATGGAATGAAGGATGCTGTGAAATTATTTACGCCATTACGCTATACGCAATGCGAACGACGAAGCAAACAGTTTAGCTTAAATGCGTAATATGTTAACAACACAGAAATCTAAATAATAATTGCCTTATTATTTAGATTTCTGTGGTCGACAACAAAGGGTAAAAACCGACCGGGCGGGCGTCTGCTTGTCCGATGGTGGAAGGGAGAGGGAAGAATTATTGTTATGCGATTCCAGCGCAGATCCTTCGAAGCTAGGTATCCTATAGAGATCACAGAAAGGCTGGCTTTAACCAGATTCAGGTTGGCATTGATTTCAAAAGCAGCTAGATGGCATTCTAAAGCACCAGCCTATGTATGACAGCAATATTATGAACACGACCGGACTTCTGCTTTGTAGGCAGCTGTCCTGGCGTGAAATACCGCCTCTTTAAAATAAACCTTTACAAATTAAACTTGTTCATATGAACGTCAAATCAACACCGATTAACAAAAACAAAACCTAAACCAAACCAAAACCAAAACGGGAAAAAAGATCTATTAAAGCTTATATTAAATTAATATGATGACAAAGTTCATTAAAATTTTTAAGATGTCCCACAATGATGTTAACAAATTCTATTTTTAGTTATATTAGGAGTGTAATGGCCAAATACGAGTACTTAAACGCTACTCAATTTTGAGATGTTTAGTCTGGTATTGTCACAGTCACTTTGACTTAAAGTGATAGAGACAGCACGAGACTTAACGGCATCTCAAAATTGAGGACTATTTGAGTATTTAGGCATAAGAAACGCCTTGATTGGCAATAAAAACTCCGATCGAAATACCTTTCGCAGATTTTCCGCTGGTTGTCAGTATTAGCTGCACCCTTTGCTGTATGGTGGATCGCGCTCTCTCCTCTGCTGCTGCCTGCGGGCCCGCCGCCACGCGGTGCCGCTGCCGCACTTGCCGCGTTCGAGAGGCCCGTGTTTGCGCTGCTTGTCGTTGTAGCGCTTCTTGGTGCTATTAACGGAGTTCGATGTATGTATGCTTTATAATTTAGATTTCTTTAAAACTGTATTTACGCCTGTCTGTGTCGTTTGAAATTACACAGCATGCGAGCAACACGGGTTCGATCCCCGCCGGCACCATTTTAAATTATTAATTGCAATTTTAAGTGCTGCTTTACCAACATCGAGAGGAAAGCGTATTTCCCTTTCCGTGTCCAACTGGCGACACCGGTCTCGCGGAATCCACACGCTTTTGTATTACTACGGAATTCTAATAGGCCGTGTTCAATTGGCGCCAACTGAACACGCCTTTGTGATCAAGTGGCGCAGGGGGAGGTTTGACAAAATAGTGTGCAGTTGAACTGAGGACTTTTTTGACTTGGCTCTTAGAATGTTTGAGTCTTCAAAAGCGTGTTGAATCAGCGACGGTATCATCAACGGTATTAGTTCATTTCTATTTCCATAATTTTGTTTACGCATATTATAATTTTTATTTTGTTTTTAATTGTTAATTTAATAAACGCTCTAGAAAATCGAAATAATTATAAAAGTGAATATTTCAGTGTTTTATGGAGTGTAAGTTCGAACGAAGCGAGCTCGGGGCATCCCGACTCGGACAGGTTAGGTTAAGAGAAGGCGGGATCGAGTGAGCGAGCGAAGCGAGCCAATAGACCCCGCCATCTCCTTCGCGGTTATTTTTGTAATAAACCGCTCAGAAGTAGAAGCGCTGCAAAGCGGGTCTCCGTCGACCGGGCTTCCCTCGACTGCGCTACGTTGAGTGGCGTGGTGCTTCCCTCTCTCAACTCTCTCCCGTGAGTTGAGAGTGATCCCAAGAAAAGCAGAGGATTCAACAGAACTCAGTTCTTCCCCATTTAAAAACACATTGATACTCGGATTATTAACATTTGTTGTTGTAAATTTAATACATTTAGTTTTATTGCCGTTTAAATGTAGATTATTAACGTTAAACCAATACACTAATTTCACATTATTCACTTCGTCACATTTAAATGATTGACGTTTAAGTTTAAAAATCAAGGAAGTATCATCAGCAAATAATACTATATCATGATTATCCCCTACAAGGGAAGGTAAGTCATTAATATACACTAAAAATAGGAACGGACCAGTCATTTGTACGGCCATCCGGAAGAACTTTTACCATTGATAATAACTTTCTGCACTCTATTACTTAAATATGAAATAACTAGTTTAAGCGCTGTGTTCTTGACACCATAGTACTATAGCCTCCTGATTAATGTCTCACGGTGAACACAGTCGAAGGCCTTGGATAGATCACAATATCTAATTTTTAGTAATTCTTATTTATTGTGGTAAACCAAATATTATTAATATTCTGTGATGGGCACGGTCTACCTGGCCCCCCTCTAAATACACCAATGGTGGGTTGTAGCTCCGTGGCGCACATGGCTGTCGGGGCGCGGCTGGGCGATCTTTGCGCGTCTCTCGTTCGGCGCGTTGCTTCTTCACATGCCACTTAATAAAGCGCTGCTCGCCGCTAGACTAGCACCCGCGCAGATCGACAGAAGGAATGCCGTAAGTGCTTTCGATATTTTAGAATTATAATTTCATTAATTGTGTAGGGCAGATAACCAAAGAATTTTTAATAGACGATATTCACTACCCGTTAATATCGACAGGCAAAGCACTTTTAGCGCCTTGCAATTTTTTTAGGTTTATTTTTTAACCATGTAGTTTTCACAGCCCGTATAAATCGTCAGGCAGAACACTGTAAGTCACATCTGCCTCCTTAATTTTCTGGTCATTCTCTCAACAGACGATGTATGCCGCAAGACTAGCGCTTGCGCTTTTCGACATGAATATCCGTGAACCGTTAATAAGTCTTGCTCTCTGCAGCCAGTTATCAATCACCGCATTCAAGGATTACCTCTCAAGAAATACAAGCGACGCTGTCGAAAGTTGGCATTAGTGGAATCGTATGGCACTAGGCTTAAAATTAAAATCATTAACAATTCGAAATACTATGAATTCAAAATTATTTAAATTAATAATTTGACGGCTCTGTGGCGCAGTTGCTTAGCAATGAGTCGATGCATTTGGGGCCACGGGTTCGAACCCTGCCTGGAGCGAGTACTTGTATAGCCTACTAATAATTGTTCCAGGTCTAGATGGATGTCTTTGTGTAAATAATGTTTGTTAACTGCCTCTCCGATATATGAAAAATTCATATCCGAGACGTTTACGTCGTGGAAGTAACTTTTTTTTTAAGAAAAATAATAATATTACTAATTTTATCTCAATAATAACAAGATAACATTTCACATGACATAAATTTATATGCAATATGGTAAAAGTTTCTAAATTAAAAAAAAGTTTTCCGGGTGCGCCGTAATCCGCTGGCTTCAGTTCGTTTTAATTACTGGTAAGTACCTACTTTCTTAGTAGCTACATACATTATTTATATGATATTTAGATTTTTATTATTTTATATATTTATAGAATTTCGTTTGACGGAGGATTAAGACTAAGTTATCTGTGATGACGTCACCTTCCTTATGATTGACTCAGAAGATGGGTAAAGGATTTTAGTGATGCTACGTAGAACCATCGTGGTTTTTTTCAACTCATTTTTAAAAAGGTTCATGAAGACCTAGATGATTATGATATCACCTAGCTGATGGTGGACTCCGAAGGTGGGTATAGGATCTCATCTCAGTGACGCCACTAGATAGGACGATCGTGTTTGAACTCATTTAAAAGGGCTCATAAAGACTTAGGTGATTGTTATGATCTCACCTTTCTGACGGTGTAATACGAAGGTGAATATAGGATCTCAGTGACGCCACTAGATAGGACGATCGTATTTGAACTCATTTGAAAGGGCTCGTAAAGACCTAGGTGACTGTTATGATCTCAGCTTTCTGATGGTGCAATTTAAAAGTTTGTATAGGATCTCAGTGACGGCATTATGTTTTATATTTTTATTATTATGAATTTATAGGAGTCACGCAATGTTATTTGTGACACTTCTAAAAAATTTATACCCCCAAAGGGAATGAAAACACAAGAAAAATAAAGAAAACTAAACTAAATCTAGTGCACCTATATGTGTTATGTAACTTAATACAATACGAAAAAATTATTTTATAAAACTCAACATATTTGATCTACGAACAAATCAAATAATAATTATTTTACTAATTATAGACTTTTTTCTTTTTTTTCAAAACCCACACACTAGGATTTTCTCCTGTATCGTGGAGGCAGTTTACAAGCATAATTTGCTCAAAGATAAACATCCAAGCCCGGAACAATTATTTGGAGGCCATACAAATACTTGTTCCGTGCGGGATTCGATCCCAACCCGCGGCCCCCAGCGCAGCAACTCATCGCTAAGCCACTGCGCCACGGAGCTTATTCTATCATTTTTGTACAATCTTATTCTGGGGCCTCACTAAGAAATGCCGTTAATTATCGCGTTGATGGACGTTGAATGTGGGTGTGGCCACGACTTAACGCCTTAATTTGACAATGACATTAACAATGCCGTTTGCCGTTTGGCGATAACTCGAGTAGCGGTACATCAAAGAGATTAACGCACGAAATAACACGTTGAAGCGGCCACACTACGTTTGTCTGACTGTGCACGATAAGCGCAACAAGTTCGCACGTATGGATTGCTATGATGGAGCGGAATAATAAAAGTTATTACGTTTCTTAAGATTCTACAAACAGAGCCATGTTTGTGGGATCCGAGACTCAAAAGTTTTAAGAATCGTACAAAATGGTGCTTTGCTACGAATTATCCAATTATTATCTTTTAATACAACTATCGAAGAATTAGAAAGGCGAAAGAAAACCTAATGGGTTTTTATAGAACCATTTTTAACAAATATAAAAAGTCTTCAAGGAACATTAACGCCAACTTTAACGCCGTTCAATGGCATTGAAATTTAATGAGGAGCGTTCATGTGTAGCCAACTTTATCGCGTTACATTTGTTTGTTTCTAGCTTTGACTAGACTTCTCTAGTCAAAGGTTTATAGGCATTGACGTTTCCCGTTAGTGTAGCACCAGCAACGCGTTCGCTCGATGTTCAACGCAAAAGCGGGTAGGCGGGGCGATATCGTGGGCTAAGCCAGGCTAAGCGTTAAAATTATATTTTCAGATTCAGATTTTCAGATTATAATTATATGATAATTATATGGTATATGAACAAAAATATGATATTTTAAAAAATATCACAGTCCTAGTTTGGGCTGATCAGTTGGAATGGTCAGTTGAACCGATAGTGTGTGTGGAAATTTCTTTGGCTTGAATACGTTCGAACTGACATCAGTTCCACTGATGACTAACTGGCCGTGTGTGGCCACCATTACAGTTGTTTGTGTAAGTGACACAAGGTTTGAAAAACTGTAGAATTAGATTGGTAATCTAACTTTCTTTATCACCTTGGTCATCAGCTTGCTAAAGTCCACCGCTAGATGTGCGCTACTCCAGTAATGAGAAGATTTGTCTTATGGCGGCACTACACGTTGGCCAACATCGTGGCGAATGTTGTGGTCAATACCAATGGCCATCGTGTAGAGCTTGTATTGGTGCTTACCTTGGTAAGTATTGGGATGATGGCTAACAAGTTGGTTTTTTACAAAAGATCAAAGGATTGTGGCAGAGCTTGGCCGCCAGAACCACAAGTTGGGCGCGTTTAGTTGCTACGAACTCCCAGTGATTGCACGCATCTGATTTAAAATTTATATTCACGCTACGTAACTAGTGTCTACAACATGGGAATAACAATGACCAATGAAGAAACTTTTCGCTTTGTAGAGCTCTACCAAGCCGTAAATTGTTTGTGGAACCCAAGAAATAAAAATCACAAAAATAAATTAAAATAATTTCTTATACACATTCACGTAATAGCGATATGCAGTGAAAAAATAAACCGCGGCAGCTGTTTGCGCCTCAATATCCACTTTAATAAGTTCGTCTGCACATTGACGACCTTCCAACATGTGGACGCCATCACAAACTCTCGGCTAATATCTTTGCCACAATATTCGCCACTATGTCGGCCAATGTGAAGAGCCGCCTTTCACGGCGGTCGTTCAATTTGCTTCGGTTCAGGCCAATGTGCAGACGAATTTATTTTATTTTAGACGACGGCTCCGTGGCGCAGTGGCTTAGCAATGAGTGTCTGCGCCGGGGGCCGCGGGTTTGAATCCCGCACGCAACAAGTATTTGTATGTCCTACAAATAATTGTTGCGGGTCTGGATGTGTGTCCTTGTGCAATTTGTGTTTGTAAACCGCTTCCGCGGTACATGAGAAAATCCTAGTGTGGGGTTAACGTTTTTATAAAAGAATTATAAAAGAATAGTGAATATTAATGGCGCTGTAAATAGATATACGAAATATATGAAGTGCATATTGTCAGCCGTCAGGCTATTTGGTTTTACGTACCTAATAAGAAGTACTTTATTTCATTTATGTAATATAAATCAGAGCTGTCATAAACGGGAATTTTATTTATTTATTTAGCTTTATTTATTTCTTACATGCACCATAATCTGAAAAAAATACCATTAATTAGAACTTACGATTAAAAGCGCTTAGAAATTGTCAGAATCTTAAAATATTTTTTTAAAAAAATTATTGATTTAAGTTATCAAAATAATGAGCAAGTAAATTATGAATATTGATGTTATGAATATATTTGAGTGATTCCCAAGCATATAGATCAAATGATTCCGTTGTAATTTCAACTATAGTGATTTTTAGAGGTGTTTTCGCGAATAATTATGATCGTGTCAAAATTATACAATCGTGTTTTTGAGCAATCAAATTCAAGATAAAGACATGAATTTACCTATATCAAAATCCCACTTTCGTCAGTTGTATCATAGTCCTATACTATTCGATGAAAGGAGGTGCATTTTTTCACGGTGTCGCCTTAACCCATACGCCTCCGGCAACGCACCCCTTGCGTTCCGCGCACTTCTTGGTGATTGCCACCAACGCACCATAATATGCGTTGTGACTATCATAAACTGACTAAATATTTTTTGTGAGTGCGTTCAGAAATATGCGAATACTTTTATCGATAAACCATAGACAAACGTCACTGCTTTTTGTCAAATTTGATGGTTCGTTATTTTCAAAACAGAAAGTGACATTTTCGATGGTTTTTTTTTCAAGTGGGAAAAGTGCTGTGATTTTCGTCGTAAATTGTATGTTCATTCGTGTTAAAACAGTGATTAATTATATAAAATTGAAAGGTAAGTAATACTAGTTTTTACGGAATTTATCGCGTATATTTTAACTTTTTAAATACCCGACGTTTCGAACGCTTTACAGCACTCATGGTCACGGGCAGGACTGAGATGTTCAACGTCCATATGTCACAGTTAACCGCGGTTACCATAGATTAAAATTTTTAACTTTTGTTCCGATCTATGCAGTATGAACTTATGGTATCTTGAAGTCTTGCAGTTGTATGCTTGGGTTGGGATTTAATTTTATTTATTATAGGATCCCAAGCAGATGGTAGCACCCAGCCATCTTCTCTATTGAAATTAGGATGTTTTTTGATTTCAATAGCCTCGCGAATCATCCTTGGAAGGAATCGGTGTTCTTTAGCGAGGATCTGCGGTCTATCAAATCGGATGTAGTGACGGGGGCGATCCTGTACGTGTTCACAGACTGCAGACTTCCCGGAGCGTCGATTCTTCACATCAGCTATATGTTCTTTAACGCGGGTTTTTATTGATCTTTTAGTTTGTCCTATGTAGGAGAGACCACATTCACAATCAAGCTTGTACACTCCTGCATCTTGCAGAGGGACATTACACTTGACCGATGGTAAAAACTGACCAATCTTCTTCAGCGGCTTGAAGTATGTTTTGATGGAAGCGCGCTTCAAGATGTAGCCAATCTTGTCAGTGACTCCTCTAACATATGGCAGTACAGCAGGTACACGCTCGACTGTGGCCGGCTTCACTCGTTCACTGTGACGTAGGCGCGGGACTCGAAGCTTGTTGTCATGCAAAACTTGCTTGACATGGTGGAGCTCTGCAGCCAGGTGTTTACTGTCACAGATCCCTCGTGCTCTCTGAAACAAAGATTTACCCACGGTAGCTAACTGTGAAGGATGGTGGTGAGAATCACGTTTAAATATCTATCTGTATGGGTCTTTTTTCTATACACAGTATGGCTCAAGGTGTCACTGGAGTCACTGACAAGATTGGCTACATCTTGAAGCGCGCTTCCATCAAAACATACTTCAAGCCGCTGAAGAAGATTGGTCAGTTTTTACCATCGGTCAAGTGTAATGTCCCTCTGCAAGATGCAGGAGTGTACAAGCTTGATTGTGAATGTGGTCTCTCCTACATAGGACAAACAAAAAGATCAATAAAAACCCGCGTTAAAGAACATGTAGCTGATGTGAAGAATCGACGCTCCGAGAAGTCTGCAGTCTGTGAACACGTACAGGATCGCCCCCGTCACTACATCAGATTTGATAGACTGCAGATCCTCGCTAAAGAACACCGATTCCTTCCAAGGATGATTCGCGAGGCTATTGAAATCAAAAAACATCCTAATTTCAATAGAGAAGATGGCTGGGTGCTACCATCTGCTTGGGATCCCATAATAAATAAAATTAAATCCCAACCCAAGCATACAACTGCAAGACTTCAAGATACCATAAGTTCATACTGCATAGATCGGAACAAAAGTTAAAAATTTTAATCTATGGTAACCGCGGTTAACTATGACATCTGGACGTTGAACATCTCAGTCCTGCCCGTGACCATGAGTGCTGTAAAGCGTTCGAAACGTCGGGTATTTAAAAAGTTAAAATATACGCGATAAATTCCGTAAAAACTAGTATTATTTCAATGAAAGGTAAGTGCTTATTATCATTAATTATTTCTGTAGATTGTACATTTATATTCAGATTCCGACAATAACGATTATATTCAAATTTGAACGCAAATGGTGCGTTAAATGGCACACACGAACAATAATTGCTGGGATGGTATTATGCTAACATTTTCATTACTTTGTTAGTGTAATACTTCTGATTATTATTTGTGTCTACTTATGAGATGTAGTGTAATTAGTAATCAGTTGAATAACAAACTTCTGTAGCTTGGTTTTATTATAATGTTGACTACCTACTACAAAAGTAAAAATAAAAATACTTAATAGATGCAGTGCAAGTCATAAAAATGCACATTTCATTTATGTTTTATTACTTATTTTTAGATAAATATCGAGAAAAATGGCATATGGCAAAAAAACAGCGCAGTGCTAGGCTGGTGAATTTAGCTCTTAATCAAATAGATACAGATAGCAGCTCCCTGAACACTTCAAATAGGTAAGTCAAAATTGTAACTTAACTTTAATTGTGTACTTGTGTATTGTGTACTACTAACTACTACTAAGTTTATTGTACATATTATATATATATATATATATATATATATATATATATATATATATATATATATATATATATATATATATATATATTCGTTATTACGACGGGTTTCAAATACTACAGCTTGTGGTTCTAGTCAAAGATTGGGGCCGAAACGAGCAAGGTCTTTGTCAGCACAATTTCAAAGTACATCTGAATTTAGGTCTGATTCATATGATTCCTCCACATCACAGGCTCAAACATTTTATCATTCTCATAAGTAAGTACCAACTTCCACCTATTCCAAATAAGCAACAAAAATATTTGTTTCATTTTCTTTAGTAAATGTCTTTTACAGGAAACGAGCCAGATCTGTTTAAACACATGTCAAACCGGCATCTAATATAGAATCTCTAAATTCATCACAAGAGGGTATACTTTTGCCATCAATGTACGTAATTTTAAATAAACAGTTATCTAGCATGTTTGTTTTGATTGTTCTTAATGTTGTTTTGATATTTTCAGATCCACTGACCAAAATTGGACCAGGATACGAGCAAAGGTATTATCAACACATTTTGAATGTGAGACTCATACAGAATCTTGCAATGCATTAGACCATGCAGAATCTATAATTGACAATATTCAGCATTCAAAAAGGTAGGTATTTAACATACAAAATTATTTATACACGCTGTTATTCAGATTACGGTTTTAAAAAATACAAATGTCTTCACAAATTCCAGGGATGTCACTTCGCCTCATTTAAAAAAAAACTGGAATTGTCCATTCCTATTTTCCATGAATCTACTGTAAGAGAATTCGCGCAATCTGCAATGCAATTTACATCAACATCTGGCCCATTACGAAGTTGGATTAGTCAAAATAAAATAATGAATCCTAAATTAATGGTCATAGATATTGTAGAAAATGATAAACCTATATCAGATAATTCACAGGGAACTATTTTTAATGTAAGTGGTACGTTACCACAACCAATAAATTCTAGAATCAATATAGGAGAAAACGCTGGAAAGTCTGTGATGGTTAAAATAAGCGGAAAAAGAAATAATGCCCTGTTCTTTTAAGCTAGATACAAGGGATTCTGATACTTCTAGACAGTCTAGTTATGAACAAGTTTTGTTTGAGTTAAAAGGCAACCAAGAGAAAACACGCAGACATGTAGGAGTATGTGGTGACAAGTTTGGTTCATCCTGTATTTCGAAAGAGAATATTTCAAATATTAAAACAACACTGATATTGGATATCGAGACCAGTTCAGAGTATGAAAAGCCACTAATTACCCAAGAGAGACCATGCAAACGTGTAAAGACACTTGGTGGTAAATCTTGTTCAGCTTCTACTTCCAATAGAAAGACAAGTATTACATTGATATCGGATATCGAGACCAGTTCAGAGGATGAAAAGCCACCAATTACCCAAGAGAGACCATGCAAACGTGTAAGGACACGTGGTGGTAAATCTTGTTCAGCTTCTACTTCCAATAGAAAGACAATAAGTATTGAAGAAGAATTAACAGACATCACTGGAACCACTTCAGAACATGAAAATCTCTCAAAAAGATCTGAAAATGAAAACTTACCCATATCAGATGAACAACTACTACAAATTCTTGAAGACCCTGATGAGAATTATGACGACGATATTTTTGATGCTGATTTCATTGAGAACATGAATCATTCTGACAATGATAGCGACACATCAATTGTAAGTGAAGACGAATTAGTCCCAAGAAATACTGAGGAAGATCAAGAATGGTCAAATCACTATAGACAGACTAGAAGAATTAATTTTGAAGGAAATCCTGTAGGATTAAAAATTCAACCTGAGGGTTCAGAACCAATTGATTATTTTAATCTTGTAGTGACAAATGAATGTCTTCAAATGATTGTTGAAAAAAGCAATGAGAATGCGTCTCAGATATTAGCGCAAAATTTTCCTGGAAGTAGGTTAAAATATTGGAAAGATATAACTATGCCAGAATTCAAAGTTTTCTTAGGACTCTTATTCCATATGGGCACCATAAAATTTAACCGAATTCAAGATTATTGGAAAAAAATCGATTATTCAATCTTACCTTTTTCCGCCAACATATGAGCCGGAATAGATTCTTGCTTATTTTAAGAGTCCTTCACTTCGAAAACAATAATGTTGATGACAATAAGTTGGCAAAACTTTCGCTTCTCGTTACATATTTTAATAATCGGATGAAGGAAATTTATTTTCCATCAAATAATTTATGTATTGACAAGTAATTAGTGTTATGGAGAGGACGTCTTATATTTCGTCAATATATTAAAAACAAACACAATAAATATGTTATAAAACTATATTTCCTGGCAGATGTTCACGGAATTATTCTAAAAACAATAGTTTATGCTGGTGCAGGCGATACGAATATCCGTGGTACTAACCATTCTTCAAAAGTCGTTTGGAATTTATTACAAGATTATGTGAACAAAGGTTATTCTGTGTATATGGATAATTTTTATAACTCTGTTGAGTTGTCAGAAAACCTTTTGTCACAAAAAACTTATTGTACGGGCACCCTAAGGCAAAATCGAAAAAAAACCCTAAAGAAGCAAAAAGCTAAAAAAGGGTGAGTATGTTGCTCAATATAATAAAAAAAGGTATCTGCGTAATGAAATGGCGAGACAATCGTGATGTCCTTGTAATTTCATCAGAATACGATGCACAAATGACACCAACGACAACACGTCGCAACACGGAAATAATAAAACCAAATATAGTGATAAATTATAATAAAAATATGGGCGGAGTTGATCATCAGGATCAAATATTATCATATTGCAGCTGTGAGCATAAGACTGTCAGGTGGTATAAAAAGTTGGGAATTCATATACTACAACAAATTCTGTATAATTCTTTCACCATATACAACCTACTATCAGGTACTAAGAAGTCATGATTTTCGATTGTCAGTGATCGAGAGTTTAATTCCTGATGTCAATATTACAAATTCTCGCACTTTTTCTAAAGTCCATGTATTACAACCTTGTCCTCGGAAGGGAAAGTCAATGCGCCGAAGATGTAAAGTATGTTGGGAAACAGAAAAAAAACGTAGACACCCCTGTATTACAACCTTGTCCTCGGATCATCGCCGATAAAGTATGTTGTGAAAGGACGTGAGCAGCCTGGTCTTTGCATTACCAACTGCTTTAAATTGTATCACAATTATTAATTAATAAAACATGTTTCTAATTAGAACTTTTATTTAAGTACTTTCTTTTTCATAAAGACTTTTTCATTGCAGATTTTCAGTCATTATTATTTTGGTAGTTACGCATGTGATTGCATAACATCATCCATTGTACCAACGCAAGGCTTGCGTTACCGGCTCTGCCCAAAGAAAAAAATATCTGTGTGCCACCAACGCAACATATGAGTTTACGGCTTTTTTTCTGTATTTTGAGTTTTTTTTTTATTATTTGACTATTTATATAGATAGTTATTTCATACCCATTAACAAAAAAAAACAAAGTGGATCATAAAGAAAAGAAAAAAAATCTGGTGGCATTGAGTGGATTAAGGAGTTATAATCGATTCGTCTATGTTTTAAAATTGGGCTTTGATTTTAAAGTGCAAAAGATGTACTTGCTTTTCTATCAGACATTCGATGTATATAAAACACCTTATAATTTATTTGGTAATTTTTTTTTGAGAAAGACAAAAACAAGCAATAAATATAATAAACTAATTATAACTTAGAACATAAATGAAAAACTCATGACAAGTGGTTCTGGACCATGCTTTGCGGAAGTCTGTGGAGGAGGATGTTCAGTAGTGGACTTGTGAAGGGCTGTAATGATGATGATGATTCGAAAACTTGCACGATTAAATTATAAAAAAATCGACTTTTTTATAGGATAGTGTGACAAACGAGCACATAGTCCACCTGATGGTAAGTGGTTGCTGCGGCACACAGACATCTACATCTATCCTCGATTACGAATCAAAATAATGCAGATGCCTTGTCACCCGTGAGGACTAAAATGGAATGCCTCGTCTCCGGTTCCTCTACACTCACCATACGAAACACAGCAGCATTAAGTTACTATTTTGTGCGTGTAATCACTTTGGGAGCTTGTAGCAATCTAAACGCGCGCCCAACGTGTGGACGCGGCGGCCAAACTTTGCCAACAATCCTTCAATCTTTTGTAAAAAACCGACACCACAGTAGATCTCGCGCCAACTTGTGAGCCATCATCCCAATACATACCAATGAAGCTTAAACACCCGCTCTACACGATGGCTAATGCTATTGGCCACTACATTGGCCACTGTGTTGGCCAACGTGTAGAGCCGCCGTAATGGTCACCTGAAGGCAGATAATCAAATGCAGACGTCCAGCACCAGTATTTTTGACGTTGTCTTACCACTTATAACGCCATCTATCGGAAGCCACACAGCAAAATTTTATGTGGTAGATCCACGTTACAGCTATATTACGGTTGTAACATGAATAGGTCGGCTCGACTGGGTAAGACCACGCTCTCACCGAATACCAGTGTAAAACAGCAGCTTAGAACTTGTGTATTTCGTAGGGTGTAGTGTAAGTAGTACTGAAAACGAGGCATTCCATCACAGTCCTCAGGGGTGGCAACGCATCTGCATTTTTAATCTCAATTGAGGTAGTAATTTGATATCTATGGGCCACATCATCCACCTACCATCAGGTGGATTGTGTGCTCGTTTGTCACCCTTATTCTATAAAAAAAATATGACCATTTCGGCATCTCCTATAGTGGCCTCTTACGGCAGTCACGGGAAGAAAAATAATACTGAATTCTCTTACATACTCCACCAACACATGACTTAACTTTTAAATGTTTATATTATATTCTGCAGATATTCGAATGGTTCGGTGTAGCAGCAGTATCATACGCAGCGTCACTGCCACTCGCTCTGCTGGTAGAGCTGCCAGTAATGCGACTTCACCGTGAACTGACGCGGTTACGACATACCAACAAGACTAGTCAGACGGTAGTTATATTTTTAGAGAATTATAAGAATATTTATAAATTTATTTAACATTTCATTCTATTATGTATATATTTTATTCTATCTTATGTTGGTAGTATACATAAGATAGAATAAAATATATACATAATAGAATGAAATGTTAAATAAATTTATAAAACCAAACCAAATAGAAGCACTTGGAAGAAAAAACTGATCAACCAACTGGCCTTCGGGTTAGCGGGAAAGAGAAAAAGAACAGACGTTATTTTTACATAATAATACATATAAGTAATAAGTGGCGACGAAACCCTAGAGCATTTGACATCTCAGCAAAACTTTTTATAGTAAATTAGCAATAATAATTACATTGTAGTTCGGCTCGCCTGGGGAATGACTAAGCTTTCACAGAATACCACAGCGTAAAATGACCAATGTTGCTGTTTTTGAGTATGATAAGTGTAAAAATCTGGAAAACTTTTACAATAGTGGTAAGTCATTCCATCTTAGTTTCTGACAATGCAATTGCATTTTGATTTTTTTCAATGTTAGATGTCGGTGGCTATGTGCCACAACAGGGACTTCCCATTGGATGGACTGTGTGTTTGTATAACATTCTTTTGTATTTCATTACAGCCTATCTAAGGTTCACTATTGAATATATGCCTCCCCTGTAGGTAACTTTAGGTTAGGGGCGATATTTTCCATAGTTGCCACCCTTCGTAGGCAAGCAGGTTGGCAACCGCGGTTTATTTTTTGGTTTTTTAGGAAGACGCTGCTACTATCTTCTGATTTGCTTCCCTCTACCACCTCTTACGAGATTTATATTTCTTGTTTGTATAAAAAATCATTAATAATTTTAGTGATAATGGGTGCGTTCAAACTTCGGTTGGTCACATACTAGTAAATTAATAGTGGTATATACCCATGAGCTGCCACAACTCAATATATTTATTTTGTCCTCCAGACCGAATTGTGGTCACGGCGGTTAGTCTCAATTGAGACTAGCCATCTGCGCAGGACAGGATCATTGTGCACGACTGTACGCGCAACCAAACAAGTGCGCTCGGTATTACTCACTCATAGTCCAATGGGCCGGTTATCCAACTCGAACGAAGAGAGATCAGGCTAAAAATCGGCTTTACATGTTTTCCAAAGCACGGGGATAAAACACCGCAACTACCCGACTCCGGGCTACTGAGAATTTTTTGATAAAATAAATCCAATAACTGAATTTGATCCGCCTCGGGATCGAACCTCGGGAACCTCATACTCAGCAACCGCGTTTACAACCACCATACCAACGAATATAATAATAGTAACCTGATTATTATATATCCACTGCTGGGCTCTTATTTTTAAGAGGGTGTTGACAAGGTATTGTTCGCCACTCGGGCCCCAATAGGTTGGCGGACTTCACATTTCTTTGAAATATAATGTGTGTATAAAAATATTATATTTAAAAGATATTTTATTCTACAGACCCAGCAGCCACCGTCATCCCATAAAGTGGACAAGACTGAAATGTGAAGTTGACTTTATATTTAACAAAAATAATTAGAATTATGAACAAGCTCACCTTGGTGAAGGCACCAGTAGTTTGAGGCAGAAGCCCAGTTTTATGGGGTATACATGGTGTTTTATAAACAGATGCTTCAATATAGCTATATGTTGTATTAAAACAAATAAGAAAGACTTATGAGCTTATGTATTGGGATATGGTTATAGTAGTAGTGGTAGTGAAGAGAACCCACAGGAATGATTGTAAAAATTTCTATGTCCAATACTATAAGAGGTACAAATTTAAGGATTTTAAATCCATATGGTTTTCGAAAGCGCATTTAAAATAAAACGGCTATAAATTTAGATCATACCGAAATTGTGTTTTGCGGGAGTTATTGTGCACTATCACCATAGTAGACATTATTTCTCTTTTATTTTGTTACCAAGCCAAACAATAGCAATGCCAATAACACTCATATACCCTTTAAACATTGATAGTAAAAATGTGTTACATTAGTTGGTAGATTCATTGTTAAAGTTACAACCTATATACGTCCGCCACTGCTGGAAATATGCCTCTGTCTGCCGTCTGTGTCTGATGTCTAATGTCTGCCGCACTGTCCAAATCGTATTGGCAAACTGTACATGTCTTCGAAATAATTTTTTGTAGGTTCTCTCACGATGTTTTCCTTCACCGCCAAGCACGTGGTAAATCAGCACTTAAAATTTCTATTAACAATTTCATTGGTGCCGGCGGGAATTGAACCCGGGTTGCTAGCGTACTGAGAAACTTACAGTGAGCACTAAGCCCCTAAGCTATCACAGCTCTTATCGTAGATTACTAGATTCATTGATTTAATGTTAAATATATGTCTGCTATAAAAGATATAAAATAACTCCGTGACAAAACACAAGAGAGATGCGAGGAAAAGATCTCTTTGCTTTTAAAATGACAGAATTTTAATAATAATTTTTATTATTATTAAAATTCTGTAATGTTGTGCCACTAATTTTGAAAAATATTCATAGATCTTTCAAAGTATGTGAATAAATTATTTAAGTTTAAGCTAAACTTAAGTTTTTCTTATTGCAGATTTCATAAGTTACTAAACATTAAACTTAAGTGTCTTGAGCTATGATTTAGATAAGGCATTATAAAAATTAAATAAAAATACTTGCTATAAAGAATGTATGTGTATGCTATGTAGCAGATTCTATGAAGAGAACTATATTTAAACATGTTCAAGTAAGGTGTGGTATACACATATTCGAGTCAGCATTGCTTAACCCAGCTGAATGGTCAATGTCTAGATAAATATTTGATGAGACTGTTCCAATTTCCAATCAAAAATTGTCTGTACATACAAATACTAAAATAAACATCAATGTTTGTTTGTTCGTATTTTATACTCTGTCATACCGTTCATCAGATTGCAGTAAAACTATGTGTTATAGGCATAGTACAATTAACTTACAGTAGGTGGCGCGCGTACCGTTCCGACAAATTTATTTGTAAGTCTTATATCATTCAACTACAATGAATGTCACGACGATGACGACAACTCGACGGCTCCGTGGCGCAGTGGCTTAGCAATGAGTTACAGCATTAAGGGCCGCGGGTTCGAATCCCGCGCGGAACAAGTATTTATATGGGATATATGTAATTGTTCTAAAACCCTCTGAGAAATGAGGGGAGGCCTGTGCCCAGCAGTGAGACATATATAGGCTGTAACTTTTTTTACTTTTTTATGTAGCAATAGCTATAGGTTGGCTTCATCGTATAACAAATTATACCAAATGTATGTGGTCGACACTAATATGTGTATAACACACCTAACAAATACGATACTTTGTTCGGCTTGACATTAATTGTACATATAGCTTTAATTGGTGAGTTTTAATGTGCCTTAACATGTGAAGAATAAACATTTAAAAACCAATTGCGATTTGTATCTTTATTAAGTGCCTTTCACACACGTCACAATTTCACACTTGGCATCCTTCCTTAAACACTTTCTGGAATATGGACATGACCTTTTAACTGATATTTAAAAAACAAAATTGTCAAATCAAAGTCAAAACCACGAAAGCTACATCATAATAGTAATCGATACACATTTAGCAATGTAAACTAAGTTAGTTTTAAAAATTATTTAATTGTAAGGTCTGCTTTTAAGGGTTCCTCCAAATAAAATAACTAAAATAATTGTCAACAATTTGACATTTCAGCTATAAAGGTCACTTTCCAATCACCAAAATCCTTACTTGTTGTACTTACAACTAAGAATATTTATAGTGTATATTTAAAATGTAAAATAACTAAGAAAGTGTTTAATGTTAACGGCGCGATGGTCCCGATCCTCCCTGCCAACCGCCTCTATGCCCCCCGCCTCGTCCGCCCGCCCGGCCTCGGCCCGCCGCTGAAAATTAAAACAAAATCGAAATTGTTATATCAATAATTGTTTTGGATTATTGGATATTTACTTATCAAAAATTGTCATGCAGTGGCAAAACATAACAAAATTCATGACATTCATCCCATATTGTCTCACAGATGTCATAAAAGGCAACAATTGGAAATGCCGGTAATAGTATCTCTTTTACACCAGAAATCAAATATTTTCTTATTTTAGTGCACCCTCTACCCATTATTCTTTTTCTTATTTTTTATTTAATTCTTATGGGTTGTCTGAAATATATTGCTATGTAGCAATAAGACTACGTTTTGTTTTTACTGCAACATTTGTTTTTTTTTTCTTTTTATCTTTACTTGGTGTACAATAAACAGTAATTGCATTATATTGTAATCAATACCCAGAGACTGGTGACGAGGAGCAGCATCAAAGGTGCATGACATCTGGTCTCTGATTACCGATTCTACTGCTAAGCATAATAATTCACACAAATCTTCCTTAGAATGGGAGAGGGCCATGTCCAGCAGTTAAATATTTATTTTGTATTATCACCTTTTTAAAACAAGCAAAAAAAACTCATCAAGATTTATTTCTAATATATTGGTTCACAATAAAATACGAAACAATGAATATTAAAATATAAAACAACCGGAATCAAGATAAAAAAAACTAGTTGTAAGAAATACCAATGTTATGAGTATTACAATAAAACATATCTTGAGACTTCATAGCAAAAAATCTTGTGACAAAATTAAAAACTTTGCTCAACCAACTTTAATATAAATAAAATGAGAAAGAACATCATCAATGTAGTCGAAGTCAATTAAATACACATTATTAAGGATAACTCAAAAACTACTGGTCAAATCTTGATCAAATTTATATAAAAATATATTTAAAAAAAAAATCATGAAAATAGGTTCACCTAGAAAAAGGATCTGAATCGGTAAGTTATTAAATTGTAGATTGTTGTGAATTAGACAAACATGATAATGTTATTCAATATTATTATATATTTGATGTAGGTATTTAATAAATTCGTCTATTTTTTAGTTTCTTTCATAACAATACATGATATCATAATTTACTGATTTATATTAAATTTTCTGTGTTTAGGCCATCGCATAGCATCTTCATCATCATAGCATCTTTTCTACGTACCACCATGAGAGTTAATCAGTTTGGTTCGATAAAATGACACTACTTGCAGTTTAACATTTTTGATTTTATAAATTTTTTTCTTATAGTATATCTCGCAATTTGACATTGAGCTTGGTCTTCTGCAACTCTGGTCCAGTATATTCCTAGGGTTAGACGAATATCGTCACTCGATCGTCTTTCGGACATCCCTGTCTTCTGATGTCCCCTTTTGGATACCATAAGGTTATTTGTTGGCTCTTTATTTATTTTGCAACGTAACGGCAGATATAATTGTAATTAGCAGAAATAATTTGTCCTAAGTAAACATATTCTTTCACATATTCAAACTTGGTTCCCTAGACCTCTATATTACTTTCTGTTTAGTTGGTCATTAGTTTTGTTTTATCTGCATTAATTTCTAAACCTACTTCTCTACTTTTTTCTGCTGTCTTTTACCATGTGTTCCAGTTTCTTAGAATCTTCTTCTAGCAGGATAATATCCTCTGCAAAACTCAAATGATAGAGGCGGCTTCCATTGATTATAATACCATAATCATCCCAGTCTAATCTTCTAAATGTGTGTTCCAGCACAGCATTAACCTGTAAGCTCTGACAGCGCGCGACATGTTATACTCCCGTTCGCTCGGGACCGTAATGGCGGGAAAATTTGCAAATTAGCAAATTTTTTGCTATATTGATTGCTATATTTTCACTTTGAGACTATATTTATGGATAAAACTTACAGGAATTCTTGTTGAATGTATAAACTATTGAATAAAATTATTTTTGGTTGCTAGAAATTGTAATAAAATACGTAAATTACCCTGTATAGCATAGTAGTAGTATATACTTCAATTTTAGTGACAAAATTACTACTAATTTGAATTCTACACTTTTGTTTTTAGAGAAATTTATATGAAAATGTTTGGAAATATGTATATTTTTATGTTTTATGTGTTTCCATTCGTTACTCATACCAAAATATAAAAAAATTAAAAAAAAATAATAATAATATTTTATCTGTATGACATTTCGAACAATATTTCAAACATATTTTTGTGTGAATTTGAAATAAATACGTCAAGTTATTTGAAATATGTAAGAAAACTATTTTTACTTACATTTTACACTAAAAATAAATGAGAATTTGGAAAATAACACATTTATGACCCAACCGCCAAAATGGAGCTTCCGGATTTTGAAGTACTTTTGGCAATTTACTTTTCACTTTTTATACCACAAATTATATATCTACGTGTTTACTATATTACAAGGAATATAAAAAAGTATAATACTTTCGTTTTTAGTCCAGACACAAATATAAAATTGTATAAAAAAGACGGAGCACCTTCATCAAAACGACACGTGGAACGCCGAAAGTTCAGAGTGATTTCTTTTTTTTTTTCTAAGAAACATTGCCAGGTTATGGTTTAAAATAAAAGAGCATATCTTTGTCTTTGATACTATTATCTA